ATCTTTGTGTATACTTAACCATATACATATACTTTTCCACATTGCTTTCTTTTTCATTAGAAGCTTTATTTTATCTTCCACATTTTAGATTTGATATACATATGGAATTATTTTTTGGAACAAGGAAATGATCAAGATTAACTTTAAAAATAGATATTCTGTTGACTTATTTCCATCAAGTAAGAAACATCTTTTTTTAGTTTGTTGTCATAGAGAACGCCATTCTCATGACTGAAATCAGTCTTTATTTGTTCAGCCTACAGTTGCTCAGCTACAATCTACCAGGTTCATTAGTATGAGAACTCAATATACTTTGGATTCTGATTTCATCAATCCCATTCTTCAGTATTTCTTTTCTACCTTCTCAGGTTAACTTTTCCTGATTTCTTGAGGTAGAAACTTTATTGCTTTCAGCCTTTATTTATTTACTTTTTAATGTTACAGATTTCTCTCTTAGTATCTGTAAGTCAAAATTGGTGGACAATCTGCAACTTTTTGATTTGCTTCTTTGCATTAATAAGTTATTAACAAGTACAGAAATGCTTAATTTATAAATAATTAGTAACCTTTAAAGTTTTAGGGTAAGAATAGTAATTCTTTACTTTAAAATTTTTACATTTATTTTGGCTTATGTCTTAGACTAGTACCAGGTGTGTCTTTGAAAATCTCTACTCTCTAAACCTATGATCTAAAAGTGGTAAAGGGATTTTTGACACCTCTGCTTAAAGAAATACATTTATTTATTTACGTGTATGTGTGTGTGTGCGCTCGCGCAGGGGGGAGGAGGGGGGGAGAGGGAGTTGGTTCTCTCCTTCCACCATGTTGGTTGATTGTGGAGATTGATAGTGTGTCAGCCCTGTCAGCTCTGAGCCATCTCACCAGCTTGAAGTTAATTTTCTGGTTGATTACATTTAGGCTGGGTAATGTACTCTGAGCATTTTTGGATGTTTTTAATGGGGCTTGGTTGATTCAGCTTATAGTCAATTTTAGATAACTGCCTGTAGTCACTTGATGGGATATGGTTGACAGTTTTCTTTGTAGGTTTATTGCACCTTGTAATATTGTCATGGTTTGTATCCTGAGTGCTTTTTAATGTGCTTTTGCTAGCAATTAGGAACTTTCCCATTCCATTGTGGTAGTAGAGTTGTCTTTTTATGGGGTTTAGCTGTTAAAAATTATGTATAGTTCTGTTTATACTTTGCATATTTTAATGTTGGTATCTCTAATAATATTTCCTGTGTTTGTGCACCTGCGTACTAGTATGATATAACATATTTCCCATTATTTTCGGTATTTCTGTGTTCTGACATTAAAGATTCATCTCTAATTTTATTATTTTACCCAGTATGATAATCTTGTTCTTTTAGTGGTTGTCCTAGAGATTACAGTATGCATCATTGGTTTATTACAGTCTCATTAAAAACACTTTTACTTTTTTTTCTAATAATCCTAAGAACTTAGGACATTTAAACTCAATTTGCTTTTCTCAAGCTTTTTATATTATTATTATTATTATTATTATTATTATTATTATTATTATTTTATTTCTTTGGTTTTTCGAGACAGGGTTTCTCTGTGTAGCTTTGCGCCTTTCCTGGGACTCACTTGGTAGCCCAGGCTGGCATTGAACTCACAGAGATCCACCTACCTGTGCCTCCCGAGTGCTGGGATTAAAGGCGTGCGCCACCACCGCCGGCGCTTTTTATATTATTTTGCATTTTCATTTACATATGCATTAATACTCACTGGACCTTATTATTACTCATAGTGTTAGTATTTATTTAGATTTGCCCATACATTTGTCCTTTTAGTAGCTCTTGGTTTTATATTGCCTTCCCACCTTTCCTGGTAGGATCATTTTCTTTTTCCCTATGGAACTTTTCTTTTAGATTTTTTTTAAACATCTGCTGTTAAAATTTTTATTTTCTTTTTGTTTGAAGCAATGCTTGTTCTTATTTCTGAAGGATATTTTCTCCATGTAAGATTTCTAGGTTCAAAGTAATGAAAAATTTCCTACAAAAATTTAAAGTACTATATTAATATTTGAAGTTAACAAAGATTTTGCCATTGTTTCTTGTAAGATAATGCCTTTCATATTCTGCTTTTATAGTTTAATCTTGTTTTGGATTTTAGCAACTTTGTTTGGCTACACCTTCATGTGAGCTAGTCTGCTTTTGTATTTGCCTGATCGCTTTTTCTTATTTGGCTTATATGGAATTTGAATTTTTTTGTGTTAATGACTTTCTTGGACTGGGAAGTTTTTAGATTTTTTCTCTGGATTTTACTTTTTCTTCTGTTTTCTTTCCTGCTTTCTTTTTGGGACTCCTCATGTTTTGGTTTCTTTTTTATTGTTGTGATAAAACACCATGACCAAGGCATCTTATAGAGAGGCTCATTTGGACTGTGGTTCAGAGGCGTGAGTCTACAGCAGTGGGACAAAGGTGTGATGGCACATGCAGGAAGCTCAAAGGAGTGAGAGCAGACTGGGTGTGGCTGGGTCATTCTCAAAACCAGCCTCCAGTGACACACTTCCTCCAACAAGGCCACACCTTCTCAACTTACACACACTGTGCCACCAACTGGGACCAATATGTAAATGCCCAGAGCTCTGGATGACATGTCAGTCAAATCACCTTATCACATGTATTCAAGTTATGTTGTAGTCATCATTTATCTTCTTTTCTGTATTTTCTTATTTGATTTTGTTCTTTCGTAAGCAAATTTTCTGTTTTCAAATTAATCTCTCTCTTAAAAATATGCTTAATTTCTTGGTAATCTCATTTAGCTCTTGATTTTGTCAATTTGATTACTTATTTTTAAATGTTTTGATTTTTATGCTTCTGTTTTATCTTTATGCTTTTCTGTTTCTTGATTTAGTTTATATTTAATAAATTCATTTTCTTAATTTTTTTGTGGTGCTGGGAGTTGAACCTTGGACATCTAGGTAACTGTTCTACCACTGAGCTATGTTCTCACCTCGAATAACTATTATTTAAAAATGTTTCTTTAGAGTACTAAGGGAAGTGGGCAAATCAGAGGGGTGGGGGAAGGGAATGGTTTGAACTGATGTTAATGACAAGTAATGATAAGGCGCAGAGAGAAAAAGATCTAGAAACGGTAGGCTAGGCCTATAGACCTGTGCCCAGCTACTCTGGGAACAGTCAGGAGGATCACAAGTTTATAGCCCACTTAGTCTACAGAGTGAGTTCCAAACCAAACTGAATAATTTAGCCATATCCTGGAGAGGCATGGGGTGGGGTATGAGGTCGTCTTCTTCTTCTTCTTCTTCTTCTTCTTCTTCTTCTTCTTCTTCTTCTTCTTCTTCTTCTTCTTCTTCTTCTTCTTCTTCTTCTTCTTCTTCTTCTTC